CGTCTCGGATCATACTCTCCAACATTAATCACGGAGACCTCGCCTACATATAACGTACACAGTCCGTGACAGGGATGTACTTAAATCATAAGCACTGCACGAGTAGCGACGTCCCGGAGAGAGCAAACTCAGACCACTATCCACAATAAGCAACATCCATAGACGCGGTATGGATAACTTCATGAGTCTTCGAACCTCGCCTTCATCGCTAGGAAATCCTCCTCTTCAAGTATCGCCCAATTTGTCACCACGAGCTCCATTCCCTCCGTGCCTTTCCTACAGACCCATACAGTGCAGTCAGCAAGGTCCAACAATCACAACATTCAGGCAGCCGACACTCACCTATCACGCTCTTGCCAGTCCATGCTCTTTCTTCCATGCCGCTCCCAGCCTCTGACTCTCTCATCCAGTCCACCGCTCCCGTTCCTATCCGCAGCGTCCTGCACAAGATTGAGGTATGCCCTGACCGTCGTGTCTGCGCTCCGGTTAGGGACGAACGGCAGAGTGCACATATCGCGCGGGACATCGGCCGGAGTAGCTGGGAGCATCGAACGGCACACGGGACACCGCAGACTTTCGAGCCAGCGACCACATTCGCCGTCCAGCGCGTCAAAGTACCATTTCAACACGCAGAGGGCGCAGAAGTTGTGCCCACACTGGCCGTGGTTGAGACTATATGGACGTGCGCTGCGTAAAGCCGGGATCAGTACCGCGTGCAGGGTGAACAGAACCACGACTGACTTACAGCGGTTCAATGCAACTATGTGATCGGGCGAACGAGGGCTCGACGGTCAAACCACCTGCGAGTATAGCCACATGGACTCACAATGCACACTGAAACTCGTCCTCCAGGCGATCCAGGATCCATCCCAGTCCAAGGGAGGGCGCTGAACTGGAAGCAGCACACGGCGTGTCCGGCCACGAGTCAAGGGAGCTCATCGATGCACCGCCGCTTGAGGGACCAGGACTCAGATTTCGACTCTTGTCGCTGTGGAAGTGGTCCATGGCAAGCTCGAGGAGTTCATCCTCGCTGAGAGACCCGTATACTGCTTCCGATTGAATCGCGAATTGGGGGAGGAAGTCTTCCGCAAAGTCCTCCCTGATCGCGCATAGCCCGCTAATGAGAACCCTCTGCACTGGATACAAAACTCGTAGACACTCACGACTGGCCAATGAGGGCACTAAATCGCCGGATCAGCCCTGGATCCATGCCAATATCACCTTCGACGCGGGCTTCTGGATGCGTGCTTGACAATGGGCGGGGTGGAAAGAACAGAACGAAGGACGTAGGTAGACGCACACAAGTAGGATGGTTGTAAGGCTGGGCACGAGGTGAAGCTGCTACTTACACCTGTATGGGAGTGCGGAGCCGGACTCCGAATACCTCGTATAGTAGGCCAGCAGAACCCTCATTGACAGAATCGATGAGGCACCGAGCTGCCTCAGGTCTGTCGAGGCGGCCGCATTATGACAGACTGACGCCTCAGCAAGGCTCTGTGAATGTCGAAACTCTGCGTTCAACATGACAGAAAACGTACTTGATATGAATCATCTCCTGCACCTCGCACCAAGAGCAACTTTTCGCTGGAGCTGTAGTGGTCTTGCATGTGCGTGACCGCGGCCACCTATGCAGATAGCGTCCAACGGCGGCACCCAAAGGCTAAAGTTAATGGATGGCGTATGCGCGTTGCTCATCTCCCGAGGATCCTTTGACGCAGATGGTTGATAAGGCCAAAACTTAGAACCAGTCGAGCGGCCCCATCGAGACTTGCGATCAGTAAGTATGAGGGGAGTTCTGATCCCACAGGCAGGCCGCGAGACATGAAGCTCTGGATCTTTCCACCATAGCGAAATGACAGAGACTGAAAGACAGCAAGACGTCCGATGAAGAGGACAAGGGAGAGTGAACCAAAAAAGCGTCTGGTATTAGCGACCAACGCAAGCGGCTCATCGGGCGCTAGCGGCCACAACGAACTTGCCTTTTGACTGCCACCATGATCATGATTCATATATTCATAAATGATCATTCAAACTCTGCGAATCCTAGTAGCTCTTCAAATATTCAACATGCATATGATGCAGCACTAGAATAACCTGCAGGCGCGACTCGGTCAGCACTGGTGTGTATGTCGTCATCAATATATCGCCCTTCATGCATTGATGCTTTCTAGGTCTTAGGATCGTATGGGACCCTAGATTTGCGACGGTGCTCACTACTATGAAGAGCCGGGAGTGCTCAAAGCTCCTTAGACTTGCCAATGCCAGTGCAGACCGCGTCCAGGTGCGTCCATCGCACTACGCGACGCCACGGTAGCGAGGCGCGACGAGAGGCCTTGCGCGACCCCCACCGCCACTTGCCGCTGCGGCGGATATATCTGACTCCTTCCCGAAAGGACTCCGCAACGCACTCAACCCGCCCCGTTGCCGTCGATGCGCATGGTAACTGGTTACACCTCACCATGCGGGTGCTAGTCCACGCGAACATGTGCGATGTTGCACCCATCATGATTGACGATACCATAAAATTTGGGCGAGCGAGTCTGGTTCAGGCCTGGCAGTGGTAGTCGGCGTATTGTGCACGCGTGGTCGCTGGCTGTATGGCCTTTGGGGCCTTTGATCGTCACTATCAAAGCTGCCTTGGCTGCGCGCGCCCAGAAATCAATCACATTCTACACAAAGGGTGATCGCTTTGCCAATGCCAGGGCCCACCCCGAGACCCGCTCCGTGCGCACGTATATAAGACCGGGATGCATCGAAGGGTGCTCCTCAGATCCTGTGGATTTCACCGTCTCGCTCTTTCCCTATAACTCTCACTCTTTTCGTCATGCGTTCGACAGCTGCGCTGTTCACTCTCTCTGCTGTGGTCTCGTCTGCTCTGGGAGCGACGTACCCTGTGAAGGACTCCTTCGTTGGACAGGACTTCCTGACCGGCTTCGTCCACCAGGCGATCGCGGACCCTACCCACGGCCGAGTGTAAGTGACCTTACGCTAATTACGTTAATCGTCGTCCAGTGGCTCAAACCACATCTCTCTCTCCAGGCAATATGTCGACCAAGCGACCGCGCTCGCTCAGAACCTCACCTTCGCGTCAGACACCTCTTTCATCATGCGCGCAGACTCGTTCAGCGTCCTCGATCCTGCCGGTCCCGGACGCAAAGCAGTTCGCATCAAGAGCAACGCTGCGTACAGCACGCACGTCACAGTGTATGCGAAGTCCCTCCTTGATCCCCAGTCCTCCGATGCTGACCATGATCATGATCACAGCTTCGACATCAGGCATATGCCGCAAGGCTGTGGCACCTGGCCTGCGGCTTGGGAAGTCAACGAGGAGGCATGGCCTGGCCAGGGCGAAGTCGACATCGTACGTGCCCAGCTATCCCTTCCGCGTCGGGGTGTCCTGACGCCACTTGCCCTTGATAGCTCGAAGGCACGAACGACATCGAGCCCAACCAGTCGACGCTGCACACGAGTGCCAACTGTGCACAACCCGCGGTGGGGCGCGCGATGAGCGGCCTTCCGGTCACGAACAACTGCGACGTGGCCGCGAACGGAAATGCCGGTTGTGGCGTGCAGGCTACTGCTCCCAACAGCTACGGCAAGTCGTTCAACGCCGCTGGCGGAGGATTCTACGCTATGGAGCGCACGACCTCGTTCATCAAGGTCTGGTTCTGGTCGCGCAACGACCCCGCCGTCCCTGCAGACGTCAAGACTGCGGGCGCGAACGTGAACACTGATGCATGGGTGAGTAATCCGTCTCTGCCCATCGCACCCGTAAACTTGCTCCCTGCATGTTGCTATACATCTGTATCGCACATGTGAGGACAGTCGGATCATGGGTACTCGGAGTCGGGCTACGGAAGATTGACGCATCGTGATATTGACTTCGCACTTGAAATGCAGGGCACCCCATCAGCGCTGTTCGTCCCTGATACGTGCGACATCCCCTCGCACTTCGGCGCGCACAACATCATCATCAACCTGACGTTCTGTACGTACCGCCTTCCTATCCTCTTCTGAGCTGCTCTGACACGTCCATGTGCACAGGCGGCGACTGGGCCGGTCTCCCTCAGTTCTTCAACGCGCTCGGCGGTTGCCCTGGCGACTGTGCAAGTGAGTACCTTCATCGCACTTCTGCGCTGATTGACATCATGCTGTATACTGACTTTGATCCGCCCCGCACAGCCTTCGTCAACCAGAACCCGAGCGCGTTCAACGACGCCTTCTGGGACATCGCCGGCGTGCACGTCTACGCGTAAGCAGAGTGCAGCTCGAACGCAACATGGAGGCGGCGCCCGAGCACATATGTTCACTATACCACGCTAGAATCGTCTGACGGCTTGATGCCGGCTGATCCTACTAGTACGCTCCTCGGTTGCGCAATATATGGGGCTTCGGTCCCGCCTTCGTGCGACGAACTTCATGTAGCTATCGCGTGCAGCTCCTCTCGAGATCGCAACATGCACAGGAATGTGCTCATCATACGAGGCCCTTGGGAGAGACTTTAGAGGCTCGCTCCCTCGACGACGGCTACGGCGAACAACCACTATCAGGACACGCTTGTACATCTGAAGCCTTTTCTTGAGTGAGGTGCGTGATTACATGTATACAGCTGGCGAGAGTGAAGCCTACAAAAGGGAGTTCGGGTGCATGTTGGTTTCCCTCGTTCGAGGTACTTATCCCGAGGACTTAGGGGCCTAGGTTTGCACCAGGACGGACCGCGACGCTCTCGTGCTCGAGCCTCGCAGTCCGCCCTCCCTCGGGATCCTTACCTGAGCCCCACCACCTGTGCATCAAGCTATCAAACGCGTACTCCGATAGCACCAAAGAATCAAAGCGGCAGAGGAGTTGATTACAGAGAGCTCACATTCGCTGCTCGGAGGTCAGAGTACCGTCTTATCCGCGTAGCGTGCTGAGCGTCTGGATTACCATATGCGGTCTACTGTACTCTACTAAGTACCTTTCGAACTAGCATGAACATGTCATACAAGACGCGTCTCCATGGGCATGTGGTGTAGTTGGTTATCACGCTCGCTTAGCATATCGGAGCATTGATCGCTTGCGAGAGGGGTCCGGTTCAATCCCGGACATGTCCAGACACGTTGCGACCCCCTTTTGGCAGTCTCGTATAATGTCCTCGATCTACCACTACTACTGAACGTTGTGAGTTCAACTGAGTCTCTGATCCGTTGTGCGCTACAGAAAGTACACTCCCGACTCCCGAGTCCCAAACTTGAACAGTTGAAGCCGCCAAGATCGGGGCTGTGCTGTAACTGGGCAGAGTGCGACCGGAACCGGCTGCACATGTCATGATGTCTTGCCCTGCCCTCGGTGTATGTCCTGCCTCGAACGCGAATTCAATTTTGCACCTCGAACCTCCGCGAGGCTCCTGGTTGGCGATAAGTATGTCGTGCAGTGCAACGCGGGCGGCGCATCGTTGTGGTCGAGAGGCCTGATCAGCGCTCGGTAAGTATGGGCGGCGTGCGCGCCATGATCCATCTCTCCCTTATTTCCTGTCCTTACCCTCGTCTTTGGGCAGCGGCCAGCCAAACTCCTTTGACTCGACGCGCGACAGGCGCAAATTCTCTGGACGTCAATGTCGACGAAGCCGACGATCGTGGACAACGTCAATGTCGCCTACTACATCAATCCTCAGTATGTCAACGTGACGGACCAAATTTCCACGGAGGCGTACGACTACGTCCAGACGGCCCAACTATCTGCGTACAACCAGACTTTGGGGGATATTACGACACCGAGATGGAGCTTTTCGTACGAGTTCAATGGTGCGTCTCGTAATGCGCGTGGGGTACCGGTCGCGCGCACGGTCGAAGCCTGCTGAACAGCCTTCTGTGGGTCCGCGCTGTGCTTACAGGGACGCGAATATCTGTGTTTGGCGTCGTCATTCCGTACATCACTGGACCACTACCGGCCGCGCAGTACGCCGTCGACGGCGTGTCGCTGAACACGTCCACCGTACCCAATACCACGCGAACTATCACTGAGGTGAACTTCTACACATCCCAGTACTTCCCCTCCGGCCCGCATGTGCTCACGGTCAATGTCACGACTGCGACGTCGGACAGTCCCTACCTGTTCGACTACCTCGCGATCGATACGACCGACCCGCCAGCTTCCAGCTCCTCCTCCTCCTCCTCTTCGACGACCAGCTCCTCCTCTCAGACAAGCTCGTCCACAACTCCGTCCACCTCCGGAACCGCGCTGCACGCCGAAGCCGTGTCGAAGTCGAGCGCGCCGACGGGCGCGATCGTGGGGGGAGTCGTAGGAGGAGTAATTTTGCTGGCCGCTGTCGCAATCGGGGTATGGTGGCTGTGGAAGAAACACAGGACATACGACCAGTCGTCTTACTCCTACGCGCGCACAGGGCAATACGGTACGCGACTCGCTTCATTCAATCCGCTCTCCTTCTTACATCCCATCGCTACAGACGGTCCAGATCCTCACGTCGAGGCGTACACGTACAGCTCCCCGCCCAGTTCGTACACGCCTGAGACCACAAGAGCGCCGAACACCGAGTCGCTCTACTCCGGGGCGGTCGCGCCCATGATGGCGACGAGCTTCCACCGCCCGAGCCTGCCCGCATCCGCACCCGTGTACTCCGCCGCACCCATGAGCTCGAAGGCGTCGCCCGCACAATCTCGACAGCACTCCCTGCCACAGTCCGTGTCGCAGTATTCCATCTCCCAGCCCGCGCACTCTGAGTACGCCGTCTCCCAACCTCCCCACTCTCAGTACTCTGTCTCGCAACCAGCATCCGAATACTCGCAGCCGCATTCCCTCGAGGCATCGTACGACGCGCTCGTTCCCGCTGCTCCGCCACAACCCCTTCCTCTATCAGGTGCTGCGAGGAAAGCAGCAGAGGCTCGCCTCGAGGCTCAGGCACCACTGTCTCCGGAAGCGGGCGGGTCGGACCTCAGCGCGGTCCCGCCGCCGTATGCGCCATGACCAGACTGCACTGCCCCGGCGTATGGGTCGGTGATCTCTCGGGTAGCAGAGCGGTGTCACTGCCTGCGCTATGCTGGTTCGCTGTGCTCAATGTTGCTGGGATCTGGTCTCGTACCCTGCCGTGGTATACTCGCACGATTACTGCAGTGCTAATGCGAGAGCAGTCAGTGGGCACGCGCTGACGTGCTGTATTATTTATCACTTGGGCTTGCGCGCGTGGAACATACTATGGACTGCTTGGATCTGTACTTTCGTGCTTCAAAGTTCATTGCTACATGAATTTTTAGGTATCATGACTGACTGCCGCGCCACTCGACGCGTCTCACCGTCGACTGAACGTACGATTTGTCCTGCTGCGACGCGTGTGCTGCTTGCGCCCGATTTCACGTCTGTGAGTATAACGAGTTCCTGGCATAAACTGAATCAAACAACAGCGAGCAGCCGGGAGACTGTTCCATGGCAGGTGCTTACTCTCCTGATAAGTACTCGGTGGTCGTACTACATTAATACTCACTCGCTCCTTTGCTCTAAGTGCTTCGCGAACAAAAGCAATGGACATGTCCGGGATTGAACCGGACCCCTCTCGCAAGCTTGGGAGATGCTAAGCGAGCGTGATAACCAACTACACCACATGCCCCTAATTCCCTGCTACCGTACATGTCATCATTGCAAACTCGAAACCTAGCAGCCCGCATATGGTAACCTAGACGCTCAATAGACTCCGCGGATCCGACTTCCTTATATGTAGTCTCACATCAATACTATCCTCTGCTATCGTGCCAGGGGTTTAAGTCGAACCTAGGATCGGAAGAGAAAATATTAGGGAACGTGAGGAGTAACGCGACTCTGATCTCAATACTGGACGCCAAGATCATTCAGGCTCGCTGTGTTTAGCTCCTCCGCAGATGTTAGCTCCTTTGGTGTGGCACAGGCAGCCCGAATTTTGATTGGGTCGGAGAGTCGGAGAGTCCTTATTCGATCACTGGTATGATCATGAACCACGTATTGTAGGTCCGGCTGGTGATTGGCTGGTGACGAGTGCATGAGGTCCATATATATAGTGGGCACGGATGGAGCATTTTTCTGTCAGTATAAGCCAGTATATCTACTTCTCAATGGCAGCCTTGGCAGCCCTTTAAAGGCGCAGCGGAGAACAGGGCGCATGAAGACCGCTAGGACAAACACGAGCCGAGCATGCATGCCGAAATACAATTGATTACCTGAGCGGGGACTGATGAGCAGCGTCCGTCGAACGTGTCATTTGTGTATGTTAATGTGAAGGGAGGTACACACGCTAGCCCCACCGGAACTAGATAAGTAGCCGGCCGCGTCGCTCGTCCAACTCAACCACCTACCACCGCCTTCGAACTCGACGCAGACCACCCCGGATGTCCGACATCCCGCCTCCTCCTGTGCTTCATTAACGACGCCCAACCCCTCTGGCGACTCCAGCTGCCTTCATGACGGCCTCTTGCGTTGAAAACACCCTCGGCCCCACTCATCCTTCTGCTGGACGGCCGCCCCCCGAACGACCTCACGGACACGTGGTGTGCAGGCCTAGACCACACCCTCCATTGCGGACGGCGCGTCGCTGCGAGGTCATCGACCTCTAAATACCTTCCGGACGAGTGCCGTAGAGCGCAGCTCGAGGCAGAGGGGCCATCCCGTGTGCGACCGTTGCTCTCTGAGAGCGGTCTAGATCACCTCTCCGGCTCTCATACCATGAAAGGGTCAATGCACAGGCGGAGAGGCTCAGGTGAGTATGTCGAGAGAGGGCAGACTAGTGTGAGCGCGAGAGCGAGAGCGTCACGGTCGCGGTTCGTCCTGGCGCAGACCTTTACTGTTACCCGAACGCGGTCCTCGGGATATATACCTCGACGAGGGAAACCAACACTGTTACTTGCCCTATATAGCTGTGCTTAATGTAGCATTTGAGTACTCACTGCACGAGCACCTCGATCGCAAGTTGGCGCCAAAAGACTCTTGAAGAGTTTGCGATGACGAGTTTCCAGAAATGGTAGAGCCACGATTGGCTGCCCGATTTGATCTCCGTGGGAAAGCTGTGGGGGTCGTGCGGAACAGCAAGCCCGCATTTCCGGAAAGCGCGGACACCAGCTCTGACGATGACCACGACGACCACGACGACGGCGACGACGGCGAGCTTCTCCAGCATCCCCCCGGAAGTGCTAGAGCACATCGCCTTCTTCGCTGCTACGAGCGACTTCCTCGGGCCTCCCGATGGCCTCATTCCACTCCTCAGCGTCGACCGCCGCACGTACGACGCACTCTCCATGTCCTCCAATCCCTACCTGTGGTCGCGCATCTTCGAATACAAGTTCGACCTTTCAGCTCCGCTGTCGAGGCTAGCGGCGAGGGACAGAGAGATAGGACCGCCCGATATCTGTGAAGAATTGAAGCTACGCTGCACGCTGCTGAGCCGCGTCCGCCGGCGCACGGATTGCCACGCAGGTTCCCTTGTCATCAGCCCTACACACCGCGATGCTCTCCGGTCAATTCTGTGGACAGCGTATCTGATGATGCTGGAGAACGAGGGGAAGAACAGCAAGCAGCTTCAAGACTATGCGCACTTTGATGGATGGCTGAAGGACTTCCTCTTCCATCCCGAAGGTGCTTCACTCGCCGCGTTGTCGGTCAAGGACGACCTATGGCCTCCGGATGACGAACGGTCTGCACTTGCGCTGTGGCTGTTCTGGTACATGTTCAAGCCTGGTGAGTGTTGTCCTAGTTCTTGGCAGCTCGGGCTATGATCCCCCAGCGCGGCCTGTGCCGCGGTAACGACTTGGTCACCGGCACTTCGGAGGACAGCGCTAGATGAATCGGCAGGAATGCTTCAGAGAGTTCTGCGCAACGGATGCTGTTCCAATAACTGCCCACTAGGAGCGCATCCTGCATCCACGTTTTCGAACAACGAATTCCATGCCTCGCAGAACCATTCAACGTCTTCTGCGCTGCAATTCATGTTGATGCTTCTGGCGCTGTCCATCTGACCGAGACCTCCGTCCATGCAAGCGAAACGCGCTCGTACGATTTGATCGGGAGGCTTATGCCCGACCTTTACAGAGGAATACCGACCACCTCCTCCACTCTCTCGTACAGACGATTACACTAC